GTTTAAAGCTGAAGGTTTTTTTGTTTTTGTTTTTGTTTTTTTCATTTACAAACAATTCCGGGCCAAAATGGTGTATTCATTGCATCCAATAAAATAATGAAGAAATATATACTACCTATCCTACATGAATTTTTATAGACAAAAAAAGAATATGGAAAAAAATATAAACTGTGTTTACAAGACCAACATTACCCTAATGCCAAAGCCACACAAAGATGTAAAAGAAAACTGCAAACTTATGAGCAGACACAAATATTAGCAAGTTGAATCCAGCAATATGTAATAAGAATAACAAACATATTCAAGTAGGTTTTATCTCAGGGAAGCTAGGTTGATTTAACATTAAATTTTTTTTAAATATGGACAAAACTACCATTGTTTGCAGAGTAAGAAACTAATCACGATCCAATCAATAGATGTGGGAAAAGAGATGTGAAAAAAATATTATGATAAAAACACAGAAAATTAGGTATGAGACCTTCTTCAGCTTAATAAAGGATATCTTCAAGAAAAACCTACAGAGGGTGCCAGTGGCTGGAGTAGGAGTTAAGGTACTGGACACTCCTACATGGCCGACCATGGCTCAAGTCCTGGACCTGGTGACTTGCTTTCTCATTTTCCTTCTCTCTGTGTTTGCCTTTCTCTGGTCAAATGAAAATGAATAAATAAAATAAAACCTAAGCACTGAAAGTGACTATTACTGGGAGTTATTAAAGAAGACCTAAAGAGAACAGGAAGTGGTGCAGTGGTAAGAAAAGTGGACCATTATGGGATGGTGCTGGGTTCACATCCCAGGATCTCCCTGTGTTTGCCAGGCATGTACATGCGTGTGCATATTTCAGGCGTGCCAAATCTAGGGTGATTCATGGCATGAAGACCCTGCTAGGGGCATTTATCTCTCTCCTTCACAAAAGAAATAAAAAGGAAAAGAAGAAGGAGACCTAAATATGAGGAAAAATATAGTCATTGAGCAGAAGATTTAGCATTAGTGAGCTATCAACTCTCGCCAAATTAATCAATAGACTTAATATCATACCAAGTAATACCTCTGCAGGGTTTTTGAATTACCTGTTGAGGATTCAAATGCTAGGGTTCAGAAGTGTTTCAAATTTCAGATTTTTTTTCGTAAATTTGGAATGTTAGCATGAACATAACAAGAGATCTTGAGGGATGGGGTCAGGTCTGAACATGAGATTTGTTTACATTCCGCATTCTCCTTATGCATATAGACTAAATATAATTTTACTTGATATTTTTAATCATTTCGTGCATGAAGCAAAGTTGTACATTGAAGCACCAAGAAGGAAAGGCACCACTGTTTTGGCCACTCGTGTGGACAGTCTATGGCTGGATGGCATCACCATCATGTCTGATTCCGAATGTATGCGCTACCAATGAACAGTCACTTTTGCACACTTATTCACACATAAGGTCAAGTGTGAAATTCTCCACTTATGGTGTCAAGTTGGTGCTCAAAACATTTCAGATTCTGGAGCATTTCCAGTTTCAAATTTTTGGAATAACAATGCTCAACCTGTAATATAAAAGATGTTTGTAAAATTATCTAAAATGTGAAAGGCCTAACAAAGCTAAGACAAATTTTTAAAAAGCAAAACAAAACTAGAAGGCTTGTAACTGCTAGATATTAAGATTAAATCTACATTTCGGGGAGTTGAGACAGTGCAGTTTTGATATAAGTGTATATATATATATATATATATATATATATAGTATGTATATATATGTATATATATGTGTATGTACGATTGATATAAGTGTATGTATATATATATATATATATATAGTATGTGTATATATGTGTATATATGTGTATGTACACACATACATACAAGTGTGTATATACGTGTGTGTGTGTGTATGTATATATATGCTGGTGGAACAATGGAAGAGAGTAGATTCTGGAAATAGGTAAACACATACATTGGTGATACATTTTCAAATAAGATGCCAAGACAATTCAATGAGAAAAAGCATAAACTTTTACAAAACATGGTGTTTGAATAACTAAATTTGAAATGGGGGGGAAAATGATTCTCAGACCTTTCCTCACCTGAACACAAAAACTAACTCAAAATGGAACTAGTCTTAGACATAGAGTTTGTGAAGGAAAGCTAAGAGGGAGTCGTTGCCATATCGCCGTAGGCAAAGATTTCTTAGGTCACAAAAAGCATGAACCGTAAAACAATACGCACCATATATCAGATTTTATTCAAGTTGAAACTTCTGATTTTCTAAGGACACATCAAGAAAATGAAAAGTCAAGCATGAAAGCTGAGGCGATATTAATAATACATATACATGACACAGGGCTTATATCCAGAGTATACAAAAAGATTCTCCTTCTTTTTTCTTGTTTTGGTCTAGAGGGCATATATATGCCCCAGAAAGAGAGAAAGAGTGAAAGAGAGCAGGAGAGAGAGCGAAAACCTCTTCCCCCAAATGGGGCATGGTCCCACTGCACTCCCTTTTCCTCCACTTCACTTTCTCAACATCTGGGTGCACACACACAAGCCCAGTGTGTATTTTTTTTCCTTTTTTTTTTTTTTGAGAGTTTTTTTTTAATAGGGCACATGCACACGCCAGAGAGAGAGAGACAGAAAGCGAGAAATCACCCCCCCCCGGGGGGATGGCCACACTGCAATTCCTTCTCCTCCATTCTCCTCTCGGGATCTTGGGCACACACGCATATGTGCCCGGTGAGAGTTTAAGCCACCAGGTCCAGGACTCAAACCACGGTCAACTACATGGGAGTCCAGTGACATTGCCATTATGCCAACTGCTGGTCCCAACCCAGTGTGTATTTCAAGCTTCAGTGGGTAGATTGCAAACAGTGGCTGCAGGATCTGGCTCCTGATGGGCTGTGCTTAATCACTGCACTTACCCACTGTGCTAAGGGCTAGCCTTAAAAATATATCATTATAACGCAATCAAAAGAAAAATAGTCTAATTTTTAAAACAGCCCCAAAAAGACTAGAATATTTCCTTAAGAAGATATTCAAATAGCCAATAGATAATATGCAGAGAAATGCGAAAAAAAACTTCCATAGGCCAGCAGGTGGCATGGAGGTTAAGGCAGCTGGATCTCACATGGCCAACTGCATGGTTCCAGTCCTGGACCCAGCGGCTTTTAAAAAAACACACGTGTATGTGTATGCATGCCTAAAATCCCAAGGAGAGAATGGAGAAGAAGGGATTGTGGTGTGGGGAGTGATTTCTTACTTTCCCTGTCTCTCTCTGTCTCTGTCTCTGACAAGCACATGTACCCTACAGCAAATAAATAAATAACCTTGCAATGAGGTGCTAAAATATATCTTTCAGAATAGCTCAAATTAAAAAGACTGACAGACCTCAGCATGGGTAAGTTGCAAAGCAAGTGGAGCTCATACATTGTTGCTGAGGGTATAAAACGGTACACTCCTTAGAAATGGTAGGGTATTTTCTTCAAAGGTTAGCAGACATTTACTACCCAACTAAGAAGCAATTCCACTCTTAGTATTTCTTCAAGAAAAACAAACAAACAAAAATGTCTGCACAAGAACTATCCATGAATGTTCAGAACAGCTTTATTCATAACAGCAGAAAACTATGGAAAACATGTACAGTTCACGCGCGATTCTAGAGAATAAAATTGCCTCCGATCGATGCTGCTTGTGACCTGTAGTTGTATTGTAAATTTCAGTTTTCTATTTTCCTGCTTCCTCAACGTCTCCACAAATAGGCTGTGAGCACCTAGCCCAGGTGATCCGGCGCTCCAGTGTGAAGAGTTCAACATCTTGTCTAGCAAATCTCACGGACTGTCACTTAGTGACTTTCAAACACACAAGTGAAATCCCATGAAGTCTTTAGTTGCTTCCTTCACTCTAATCCCGAAATCCCATCAGACCTTCAGCTGTGACCTTTGCCTGGACCCCCCGTGACCTTGGCCATGGTTCTTCACTCTTGGTTCCTTACCTGCCTGGTGGGGCCTACTCCCTTGTGCCTGCCCGTGTTGCTTTCAGTGACACTCTAGGTCCTGTGAGTGTAATAAACTTGGTTTTCCTGTGCCTCCCCTAGGTCTTCGTGTTTGTTGCACCTGACTGACCATCTCATGAAAGAATACAAAACAATAAGGACCAGCAGTTAGCGTAATGGCTATGTCGCTGGACTCCCATGTAGTTGACTGCGGTTCGAGTCCTGGACTCAGCCGCTTAAACTCAAGTCAGGCGCATGTGTGTGCATGCCCAAGACCCCGAGAGGAGAATGGAGGAGAAGGGATTGTGGCATAGCCACTCCTCCTGGGGGGTGATTTCTTGCTTTCTATCTCTCTGTCTCTCCGTTTTTCTGGCGAGTGCACACGCCCTATAGCAAAAAACCTCTCCAAAAAAAAAGAAAAAGAAAATAAAACAATCGTATTGCAGCATTTCAGGGGTTATAAAACTGAGAAACTCAAAACTTTCACTCATCTAGGAAAAAAAAAAATGGCCACAGTTCAGAAGTGAAATCTTGGCAAAATACTTTGGTATTTTAAAATAGAAAACATCTCAAGATCTTATGAACTTTATTACCCCAAAACAACAAAATTAGTGTCATACACGATTCTCACCCTACAGCTATGTGCTACAAAAATTTAATTCCCTGACATTTTATTACTAATAATCCTTTTTTTTTTTTTTTTTTTTTTTTACTTGCTAGAGGGGAGAGATGGTATGGGATGGGGTAGGGGTAATCTCCCTTCCATGGGAATGGTCACACTGTAATCCCCTCTCCATTTCTCCCTTCTTTTGGGATTTCAAGCATGCACAAGCCACCAGGTCCAGGATTCCAGCTGCATGGTTGCCACGTGGGATCCAGAGCCCCAACCACCAGGCCATAGTCCAGTCCCCAGAAAATTCTTTGTAGCCAAATTCAATGTTTAAATTTCATCCTACTGCTTAATGTTGAGGGTTATTTGAAGAAACTTAGACATTTGAAATCACGTGGCATAAATAAGATTTACTGACCTTTTGCAGGGAGCAGTTAATACAGCAACAGTGGCATCTTAGAGCTTTACGTATAGTGATTACATCTCGACCTACGTTATCATAAATTGTCATGGTGAAAGGTCTTGAAGATCCACAAAGGTTTTGAAGGAAAAAATTACTTTTCTCTTCTGCAAAATAAATTCTCTCTCCTTGATTGTTCATGACTTCATATGCTTTACTAGTTTCCAAATTACCTATGACTAAGAACGAAACTGGGTGACTTATTAGTAATACTGATGTTTGTATAAATTGCATATGAAATTACCTTCCAATATGGAACATATATTGGTATTAAACTGCTTGACTTTCTCCATATAGAAAAAAATGAGAGATAGTCTGGTTAATCTCTGCTTCCTTTTATTGTTAAAATTCTGTGATAGCTTTTTTGTATCTTTTTTTTATTTAGGTTTTTGTCATAAGGGCATCTGTCCTTTCCAGAGAGACAGAGACAATGAGAAAATGAGAAAATTATCTTCTGAGGGGATGGCCATTCTGCAGTTCATTCACCATTCTCCTCCTGGGATTTGGGCATCCATGCACATGCACCTGGCATGAGTTTTTTAAGTCGCCAGATCCAGGATTTGAACTGTGATCAGCCATGTGGGAGTCTAGTGCCTTAACCACTGTGCCACCTGCCAGCCCTTCATATCATTTTTAAATTTCAGAGACATTAATATGTTACTATTATATTTTGGGTCATGTCAAATATTACTCCTCTTTATCTTTCCTTCCCACAGGATATGAAGAGAACTGTGTTAGGACTCCAGTCTGGATAGCAGAAGTCAAGAAAAAAAATTTACTTAAGGTAAATTGAGAGGAAACACTCTCGTATTTATCCCCATGAAAAAATATTTCAATTACCTTTTTTTTTTTACAGACAAATAAAAATATTATCTTTTGTCTTAATAGCTTTACTTTTGTGATTATACAGGTGGTCTTTGAAAAGTCTATGGAAATGTTTTATTATGTAAAAACTACAGAGTTGGTCCATAGCCTAGGGTTAAGAGAGCTGGATGCCACATGGTTGGCTATGGTTTGATTCCCAGCCCCAGCAGCTTGAAAAATCAAACTAGTGTGTATGTTTGGGGCCCCAAATTCTGAGAGGATGAAGAAGTTGAGGAGGGATTGTGGTACAACCATGCCTCATTGGTGGGTGCTTTCTCCCTCTCCCTATCTTTCTGTTTCTTTGTCTCTCTCTGACACATGCCCTTTGGCAATAAAAAAAAAAAATCCCAATGTAAAGGTTTAAGAATTTTTTGCAATAAAATAAACTAGTAATGCAATTCCATTTTTCTAGGAATTTTTAAAAGTCCCCTTGTACAAACAAAACTATTTTAAAATTAAATGTGTGTGTGTGTGTGTGTTCTAGGCACTAAATGTTCCTTATTGTAGTTTTAGAAAAGAGAAAAAGTGGAAATGAAATTTAAAAGGCAATATGTAGTATTCCCTCCCAAGGAGTATTGTGTAGCTTTTAAAAGTACTAGGTTTTGTGATTTAAAAATAATGTTAAGTGAATGAATTTTAAAATTGCATGGATAACAATGAAAAATCTCACCAAAATAATAATGTTAAGACTTCAGAAGAAATGTAACAGTAGCTCTACAAAAATGCTTTTTTAATCCCATGTTTTGTTTTTCAAATATTCTTTGACAAGTATATGCTTAAAAAGTATAATTAGGAGCCAGCAGGTGGCATGGTCGTTAAGGTGCTGAACTCCCACATAGCCAATCGCAGTTCAGTCCCGCACCTAGTGGCTTGCTTTCTCACTTTCCCTTTCTCTCTGTCTCTCTCTCTGGTGAGTGTGTATGCACCCAAGCAAATTAAATAATAACAATAATGATAAATAAAATAAAATTAGGTTTAAAAAGTATATTTAATTTACATCTAAATTTTAAAATTCTAATCTTTAAAACAGAGTAAGTACAGAATTTCCTCACTTTTTAATGATTTAATGGCTATATGAAGCTATGAACATAAATTTATTTTTATATTGTACCTACATATATTAAAGGTAAAAAATTGTATATGGTATGGAAAGCTACATCATGGTACAAAACTTATGCAAATAATATTTTCTGATTGCTTCTTGAAATGTCAAAGAGTAGACATGGAGATATGAGGTAAGGCAAAGCAAGACTTTAATGGCAGTCTTGCCAATTGGGCACCAGAGGCCAGCAGGTGGCGTGGTGGTTAAGGTGTTGGACATACCCACATGGCTGACCAAGGTTCAAGTCCTGGACCTGGAGGCTTGCTTTTTCACTTTCTTTCTCTCTGGTCAAATTAAAATAAATAAATAAAAGAATGAATAAAGTTAAATAAATAATTCTAGCAAATAAATAAAAGATTAGGCATCTGATGGGCAGGAATGTGGTTAAAATAAGCAATTTATTCCCGAGTGCCCAAGACCCTCCCCCAGTTCCTCATCGGCTGAGTACTGAGGGGTGTACAATCTTCCCTGATGTCACTAGGTTTACTATTCCCTTATTAGGTGTTTATTGTCTCCCTCCTTCACTTGTCTGATGGAAAGGCTCAACCTCAGAACAAGCCCAGAAAAAGGCCCACCAAATGTCCTGAGGACAGAGAACAACCAGGAAGTAATGAGGAGCCAAGGGCTGGTGACCAGCCGCCATCTTGTTCTCAGGGGCGAACTGTTGTTTTTAGGTTTCCTTGGTTTTAGGAACTTTCTGGGAATGTGAACACTCTGGAGCGGTCCCATCGGTGAGCTGCTTAAGCAACTATTTTCAGCTAGTCTTGAAAATGAATCACTTAGGTTATTTTTTTACACACAAACATACACAGTTCTACATGGTCTACTTTGTCATTGTTTTCATACTTAGCAATATTCTTTCAAAATATATCTGGCAATTTCTTTTTTTTTTTTTGAGGTTTTTTTTTTTTTTTTTTTTTTTTTTTTTTCAAGGGGGGGGGCGCCCCCCCAAAAAACAAAGAGAGGATGCGTGCGCTCCCCAGAAAGACAGAGAGAAACAGAAAGCAAGAAGTCACTCCCCAGGGGGTATATGGCAACCCAGCAATCCCTTCTCCTCCATTCTCCTCTGAGTATCTTGGGCATGCACGCACATGTGCCTGGCGTGAGTTTAAGCCACTGGGTCTGGAACTCGAACCGTGGTACATGGGAGTCCAGCGACATAGGCATTAGGCCAACTGCTGGTCCCCATCCCTGGCAATTCTATAGCACTGTCTCAGGCTTTTAAATGAGGGCAAGATGTTGAATGATATGAATGTAACATCATTTCGAGCTCTAGTTCTCAAAATGAAGTCTGCAGCAGCAGAATCACCTGCAGGGCTCCAGGGAGCACTGCTTATTGACTCCTTCCTCTGAATTGGTATTCAGTGGGCCTGTGAGGGGATTTAGGAATTTGCATTCCTTGCATGTTTTTCAGATTGTGTTGATGTTACTTTTTAAAGACCACACTTTGAGAATCACTGGTTTGGAGAATGAGTTCCCTGTGCATAAATGTTTGCCAGTGCTTGGGCTGTTTTTGTGACTTCTTGTAATGAATAACTGCACCTGTTTCTCTCCTTCGAATTTCCCTCAGCTCATTTTTTACCTCTCTCGTGACTTTTTTTTTTTTTTTGAGAGTTTTTTGCTATAGGGCGTGTGCACTCACCAGAAAGAGAGAAAGAGAGACAGAAAGTGAGAAATCACCACCACCACCCCCCTGGAGGATGGCCACACTGCAATCCCCTCTCCTCCATTCTTCTCTCGGGATCTTGGGCACGCATGCACAAGCGCCCGGCATGAGTTTAATCCACCCGGTCCAGGACTCGAACCACAATTGGCTATATGGGAGGTCAGCGACATATAACCATTACGCTAACTGCTGGTCCCTCTCATGACTTTCATAACTCCACACTCCATGTTTTATTTTTAAAGTTTATTTAGTTCTTCCACGATGGGGAGCAGAGAGAGACACACACCTACAGGCACCCCCAACAGCATTTTTCTACCTCGATCAAATTACAGCCATGCTCATGGGAATGTGCTTGTGTTCCTAGTAAACACAGGGAGACCTGGGACACGAACCTGGGACCTTCCCGTCGGGTGTCATCACAGTATAGTACCTGCGCACCACAATGGCTGGTCTGAATATTCCATTATATTCATTCTCGTATTTCAGGGCAAGCTCTGCAGGACAATCCCAAATCAGCCTGTTTTTAAACTCTCCCCAATGGTTAATACATGCCTGTCCATTGTAAGTACATGGTAAATGTACCCGGAATAAATGCTTTTCATAAAAAGTTAAGCACGTTAGTGTAATGCAGCAAGAAAAACACAAAGAAAATGTTCTTTAACAATAGAGCTAAATTGAAATGCTTTTGTGAGTTAAATAAAGTTTAAAATGTCTACTTTAGCCTTAGATCCCCTAGTGTATATAAGGTCCTCAATGGTAATAAACTATGTTCTAATTAAATATGCCATTTACATGCCTTACAGTTTCATTGCATGAAAGAAGTACATGTACTACGTTTTGATAAAAGTAAACAGTTTAATTCTAAAGGATGGTTCTGTTTCTCACCTTTGGGAGCAAAATCAGGCTACCTGAAACTTACTTGCATTCTGCTTGTACTAGCAGAATTTCTGGATTCAGGGGCCAGCAGGTGGCATGGTGGTTAAGGGCACTGGACTCCCACATGGCCGACTGTGGTTTGAGTCCTGGACCTGGCGGTTTGCTTTCCCCCTTCCTTTCTCTCTCTCTCTCTCTCCCCCCCCCCCTCTGCCCCTGTCTGGTCAAATTAAAATAAATAAATAAATAAATAAAGGTAAATAAAATAATTCTTTATAAAAAAATTCCTGGATCATTGCCTTTCTGAAATACCAATATTAGAGTAATTCAGGATAGGAAAATCATTCAAGGAGTTGGACCTATGTTTAGCAAGACTAAGAGTGAAGACCAGGATCTTCAGGAAAAGTCCTGGAGCCAAAATATTTTTTCTTTTCCCTATGAGAAGACTACTGCTGCATTCAAAGAAACACTTTAACTTATAGAGTTGATCAAACAACAGCAAAACAAGTTGTATCTTTAAGAATGAATGTATCATGTTTAGCACATACCATCCTGAAGGTCGAAACGTTGACAAACTATTAACTGGTTTATCTATTAGAAGAGAGAATAAACGTGGGAGGTAAGAAGTAATAAAAACAGATTGAAAGCACATAACAACACATATAAATTAATACTTATATTTAAGATGTTTGAAAATATGATTGACCCATTATCAGTATTTTTTTTTTTTGGAGAGGTTTTTGCTATAGGGCGCATGCGCTCACCAGAAAGACAGAGACAGAGAGATAGAAAGCAAGAAATCACCCCCCCAGGGGGGATGGCCACGCTGCAATCCCTTCTCTATTCTCCTCTCAGGATCTTGGGCATGCAAGCACACATGACCCGTATGAGTTTAAGCCACCGGGTTTGGGACTTGAACCGCTGTCGGCTACATGGGAGTTCAGCGACATAGCCATTATGCTAACTGCTGGTCCTCATTATCAGTATTTTTGTCACATGTCTTACAGTGGTATAAAATTAAGTTTTAATGTTTTTTAACTGTGGAAATAAGCAAATGAAAAATATTAGTTTATGAAGTCTTTTATCTTTTCTGTATTTTTTTGTAGGTTGGTACTATAATATTTTTTAAAATAGTGCTATGGGTTAATAGAAATAGCAAAGAACAAAAGAATTAAAATGCAAACTATGTAAAATCCCAGTTAAAACCCCAAAAATGTCTAATGCATTCATTCATTAGCAACTAAAAGCAAACTTAAAAAAAAACAAGATAGAAAAATACATTACAAACTTGCAACAATGGTTGTAAATATGTTGTTTTATATGTTTTTTTATAGGCAATCTGTTGGTTATAGTACATACATAGCATGAAACTACTAAGATAATAAAGGAAACATAAAAATACATGTTAGCTGTAGGGTCACATACAAGCAACACACTAAAAGTTACATAATCTGTTTTGTTAATATACTTAATATTTTGATAACCAGAAATTTAAAGACTTTTATTAGAAATATTTTTGAAATTTAGAGAAAAATACCTATACAATAATTTAAAATAAAAATATTTTAACGTATTTCTCCCCTAAATTCTAAAAATGTTATTGCTCAGATTTATACAATTATTTGTAACAAGTGTATAATTTAGCATTAAAAATATAAATAATTGGGATGGCATAATGGTTACATTGCTGGATTCCCACATTGTCAACTGGGGTTCGAGTCCTGGACCTGGTGACTTAAAACTCATGCAGGTCACATATGCGTGCATGCCCAAGATCTCAAGAGAAGAATGGAGGAGAAGGGATTGAGGTGTGGCCATCCTCCCTGGGGGGTGATTTCTTGCTTTCTGTCTCTCTGTCTCTCCAGCAAGTGCACGTGCCCTGTAGCAAAAATCTCCCTCTAAAAAGAGAAAAGAAAGAATAAAAAGAAAAAAAAAGTAAATAATCTGGGGCCAGTAGGTAGCATGGTGGTTAAGGGCCCTGGACTCTCACATGGCTGACAGCAGTTCGAATCGCAGAACTGGCAGTTTGCTTTCTCACTCCCTCCCTCCCACTCTGTCCCCTCTCTGGTCAAATTAAAATAAATACACAATTAAAATTAAATAAAATAATTCTTTAAAAAAATGTAAATTATCTTTTCAAGATGGAACACACATACTGCTTCATTTAAAAAATACTAAAAATAAGATGTGACCAATGATTTCAGACATCTGAATATCCAAAGTCAATTATCCAGAGACAATATCACAGGAAATTGAATCAGAAATAATAGCATGCATAAACAGTAATTCAATCTCATACAATCTGGTACAGAACAAGAGATGTTTTCTTAGGATTATTGAATATGCTTACATTTGTATACCAGGGTTAGAACACATAAGCAATAGATGAGATAAGAATTCCCAAAGTTAATTTTAAATTACATCCTCAAAATCCAATTTCCTTTTTTAAAAAGTAGGCAAGTAGTTTTAAATGAGCTCTCTAGGAAAAAATATGTAAATAATATTACTATAAAATCTAATATGTAAATTTATTATTTTAATCAAAAATGAACATTTAAAATTTGGAAATACTAACATTAAAGAATTTTAGTTGATAGTCAAACCTTGTAGCATAAATTATATCCTAAAACTCTCTCGATTTATATTATTATGGAACAAATAACAAATACATCGCTGTACCTGAGCCAAGTATTCCAATCCAGGTGGACAGTTGGGTATTTTTTTGGGTACAAACATCCATTGCAATGTGGGTTGTAGATCAAAAAATTCCATAGCCTGGATTAGATAAATGCCCTGGAGTATGACAGATTGAACAGGTTTAACTTATTATCTTGAAAATCGAATATTACCGGAACTCATTAACCTGCTAAGACAGGAATCACCTTCAACTTCTAGTTTAGATTTTTTTTTCTTTTAATTGTGTCTACACCATCCATACTTGATTTTGCAAATCGATTTCAATGAAAATACTTTTAGTTTTATATGCAAAGTCTATCTTAACTGAAATCTAAAAGAAGTTTCAGTAATACGAGAAGTCTCAGTTAATACCATCATGATAAATTGAGTGTGAACTGTTGTACACATACAAATAGGACCTTAATATGTTTAAGTAAAATGAAATGTTCACATATGAGAATCATTTGAAAATACTGGAATAATTTCCTCCACTCCACCCTCACCACCAATCTAGAAGGATATGTCATAGTAGACAAGGAGATATATTATCTTGAATAAAGACCAGGATATTAATTTGTTTTTAATCACCAGTGCTTAGCAGAGGGATAGATGAGAGAGAATGTGTGTGTGAAAGAGGTCAAGCACCTCCCAGTGAGGCATGGCCTTGCTGTGGTCCTTTCCCTCCATTTCTTCATCATGTCAGTTTTTGGGCATGCGAGCACACACACTTGGTCTATTTTCCAAACCACAAGGACTGAGGTTTGATCCTCAAATGGCCACGTGGGATCCAGCACGTTATGCACAATGCTACTTTATGTCCACTGTCTTATGTACCACGGTCTTGAGTAGGGTAGTTTGTAGTGTGTTTGTAAATGGAAAAATATGTCCTCAGTTTTCTTCCTCTTTCCTTTCTTCCCTTTCTCCTTTCCTTTCTTCCTTCTTTTCTCCTTTCTTATTGTGTGTGCACGCGTGTGTGTGGGTGTGGTGTCATAGTCAGAGTCTTGCTGTATTACTATTCTCCTTCCTCAACCTCCTGAGTGTAGCTGGGACCATGGGCGTGTGCCACTGCTGCTGGCTCCTTCAGACAGAGTCTCTTTAGGTTGCCCATGCTGGCCAGGGGCCAGTGATCCTCCTACCTCAGTGACCTGAGCAGCTAGGTTTACAGGTACACACCACCATGCCTAGAATGGGTAAGAATCCCTAGCTGCCTGATCTGCCAAACATCAGTGTCTAGTGTGCTGTACTCTGATAGGCTATGTTCTTCTGACCTTCTGACTTCCGTGTGGTATTTCATAAGGACCTGATGTTTACATTAGGTCCATCCACCCAGATAATCCAGGAGTCTCTCTCCATTTCAAGATCCTCTAGGTATTCATGTCTGAAATTTTTTTTGAGATTGTTTTGCTATAGGGCACGTATGCTCACCAGAGATACAGAGAGAGACAGAGAGACAGAGAGAAAGAAAGCGAGAAATCACCCCTCTCCTCCATTCTCCTTTTGGGATCTTGGGCATGCACACACATGTGCCTGGCATGAGTTTTAAGCCACCAGGTCCGGGACACAAACCGAGGTCAACTACATGGGACTCCAGTGACATAGCCATTACGCTAACTTCTGGTCCCCAGGACTTGAATCTTGGTCAGCCATGTGGAGTCCAGCGCCCTCAATCACCACACTGCCTACTGGCTCCCCACAAGGCTGTTTCGAGACTTCTGGGAAGCTGGAGAGGGAGCTGGGAATAAGACTAATTGAAATGCCACGAAGCTTCTCCTTATACTTAGATGCTTCCATTTTTCTTGAATAAATGCTTTTCAGATTGATACAAGGTTTTGGTTAATTTTCAGAATTCTGAAAAAGTTGCTTTTTACAGTTTTTACCAGTGTTGACTGCTTTTATTGAAGAGCAGATGTTCAGATGCTCTATTCCAAATTTGTGTGTATGTTTGAAATAATCAACATATACAGAGACATTATTATTTGGAAACAAATCAACATATAGCATCTGAGTGTACTGATAAATATACAAATATGTTTATATATAAATGACCAAATACTTTTATTAAAAATTCCAGTGACCTAATTATTAGTTTTTGTTTCAGTAAGCATACTGTTTTTATACAGTACAATATTTACATACAATATTTACATATATATACTAAATATATAGTCAGAGAAAGAGACAGAAAGCGAGAAATCACCCCCGAGGGGGGATGGCCACGCCGCAATCCCTTCTCCTCCATTGTCCTCTCGGGATCTTGGGCACACACGCACACGCACCCGGCATGAGTTTAGGCCACCAGGCCC